TGTGCACCAGCTGTATTTCCCCGCCGCAGGACTAATAAAGGGAAATCTTATCTAAGAGAAACCTCAGAGCGCCAAGCCGGCATCAGTATCAAACACTAGGATAAAGTTCAGAAGCATAACGTGGTTTGATTGTTCAGGTTGCTTAAAGTGTATCTTTGCTGAACGTTCTTCCGCTCGAGTTGATAACCTTGTTTGCTTTTGCTCCTGTGGTCGTGCGCTTCTGGCAGTGAACGAGAAAACCACCAAAGTGATCGAGGCCGCGTTCCAGCATGCCAGATACCCAGGTGTGAAGGGGCAGAAGTCTCTGCCCTTCATCGGCAAAGTCACGTACGGCCTGGACAAGTAAGCGGACGCACAAAGACGCGCACAAAGAGTTACGCGTGCGCGGCGTCTTAAAACCCGCTTCAATTTTGTGTCCATCGTCACCGCCCAGTTTGGAGATTCACAACCTGTCGATCGGCCAGAGCGCCGTCGAGCTGCTTCCTGGGGAGGGCATCGCGCTGGACATAAGCAACGTGTCCGCCGTCTTCAGAGGGAACATCCAGTACGGATACGGCAGCTGGCTGTGAGTCAAGTGAACAAATGTCCTGCCCTCCAGCCGACCACGTCGTGGCTGTAAATATTACACCTATTTAGTGCCGTTTCAGGTCTGGTCAAAGGAAGCAGTGGATTGGTTCAATGACTAAATAGTTTGATCCGAACAATAAGCCGTTGAAGAAGGCTTAAAGGCTACATTCATGGTGACGGTGTTGCAGGGTTAGATCAGCTACATGGCCAGCATGACACTGCTGGTGGAGGTGCTGAACGGTTCCACGATGGGATGACAACGGAGTCCACAAGCATGGAACATTCAAATATATTACACACTCGCACATGAGAGCCCGACTATAAAATCTGGCTCCCTGATGAAAAATTCCACTAAACACACTGGATTTAAGAAATAAAACGGCTTTTAAAACAAATACCGATGATGAACGGAAAGCAGAAAAGTACTTGCAAATACTCAACATTCACTATATACAAACACGTGGCTTGCCGGGCTGTCACCATGGGGACGACTACAGGGTCGGGTTGATGGGGGGGCGTAAGAGCCCAGCTGTCCCGAGCATGGTACATGCAGTGGTTAGTCCTCGGCAGGGTAAAGTACGGGTACTCGGGGGTTAAAATGCCTATAGACAGCAGTGTGGGACATCACTAGACGCTACGCTCAAACACTTGCAGTAGAGTATCTTGGTCCTCTTTCCAGTCGGTTGGACGCAATTGCCGCCCCAACCTCAGAAAAAGAAAAAGAAAGTCCAGGACCACCTTCAACTAACACTGAAAAAAAGGAAATAGTTAGAGAAAGATATTGTTTATGTACAGGTGAACATTCTTTACACTTGAGTCCATCCTGCTGCCGACTGCGCGGGGGGGCCCAGACAGGAAGTGATGGGAGTTTGCCATGTCTGATGGGCCCCTCCTCCTCAGCTTCCTCTCTGTAAACAATGGAAGCGGGGGTTTGAAGCGTTGCTGCAGGGCCCATGTTCAGTAACAGCCCGAAAAACTAAAAAAAAATCAGTGCAATGTTGTAGGCAGACAAAAGACAAACAAAACAAATAAGACTTTACAGCCTTGAGAGAAACGCACATGGTATAAACCGTCCTTGGAAACTCTCCCGTCCTTCCGCCACGCTGCCCTTTTAAACTCCGCTGCTAATAAATACACTCGCTATAAAGAGTTGTACTGTGAGGTTCCCGGGCTTCCTTGTCAAACCGCATCAGGTACTTTTTAATCATTTATTCTCATAAAAACCTACTCAGCTAAAATGATGTGAGATGTAAAAATGGTGGCGCTAGCACATACTTACTTCATCTATAAATAGTTTTAAAATAAATATACCTGTATCACATTGTCTGTAGGAAATTCTCTGTCGACTCTACGGCGGCCGCCGCTGGAGGAGTCACCCACCCCCGCCTGCGTCAACGGCGAGAGGCGGCCGCTTTCAGGCCGCAAAAAAACAAAACCGCTTAGGTTTTTCCTAAAACTGCGTCTCGGCTTCATCTCAACAGGCAAGAAGCCAGACTCCTGCAGCAGCTCCACCCCTTCCATAACTCAGACGAGTTCATCAGCTCGACTCATCACGGTGCAAAATCAAGAGACATTCCTTTCTATCGCTAATTTACTGGAAAAAAAAAAAAAAAAAACTCCCATCAGCCTCCCTGGCCACCAAAATTCACTTTCACAGGAATAACATACCTTCGGAATAAATCAAAAAAACCTAATTAAGGATTTAAGGGGTTGGCGGGTAGAGATACTGCAACGTTATGGGGCTGCTGTTTCTGCAGCGGAGTGTTTCCGGTTCAAACTGAAATGCTTTTATTTTGTAACTCCTGTGGTCCGTCAGCCCCTCTCCTCTCCTTTTGAGCCTGGCAGCATCGCACCGTCCAAAAGGGCTGAGGAGAAGAGACGTGGAGGGGTGGGACGGCAGATGCTGTAGAATAGTTGTAGTAGTAGTAGTAATAAGAATAGCAGTAAAGGGGGCGGGGGGGGGGGGGGGGGGTTTCCCTAACAACAAGCTAATCCCGGGTGAATTTTTTTGTTTTTCCAAGTCTTTTGATCGGTGTGAGAGAGATGGTCCAAAGAAAGCAAGCACTCTGGAGAACAGCGTCGCTCTGATATGAACGCCGGCGCGCGGGGGGGACGGGGAGCGGAGGGTCTAAGCAACACTGGGCTCCCTCGGCCCACCTTCCCCTTTTCTTCCTCGTCTACACCAGCTGGTAGCCTGAGCCTGACGACTGGTCGTACTCTATTGTGTACTGCGTGGTCCAGTCCACCGCCATGGGCCGGATCAGACCGCAGCAGCGGATCTCGAAGAAATCAATGAGGTTTCTGATGCAGCCGTGGCTGCAGAGGGACAGAGAGAGGGAGGAAACGCAGTCAGCGCCATGGTAACGACTAAAGAGTACCATCTCATATCTCAGAACTACAGTTAGCATCATTCAAACACTACGCACTACACCAGTTAAGCGTTACGCTCTTGTATGAAAGAAAGAAAAACAACCTGACTGCTGAAAGTTGGAGGTTCCTCTGACACACACACACACACACCTCTGAGTAGTAAACACACAAGAGAAGATCACTCACTTGAAAGGGCTTTCGATGGACGTGGCGGTGACTTTAAAGTGCTTGTATCTCCGGGCATTCATCCTCTCGTTGGTGGTGATTCCCAAGGCAGCAATCTAAGAATGTAAATATAGGTCAGCCATCTGTGCGTGGCTCTATGCGTGAGTATTACAAGATCTATTGTAAAGTTTCCCAGACCTGGTAGAGCTGACACATGATGAGCACGGCCACCCACATCAAGTGGAAGATGCTGTTGAGGAACATCCAGAACATCCAGGGAGAGCAGGAGGCGATCTGGGTCAGGTAGAGCCAGAAACCATCCTTGGCATAACTGGTGGCACAGTGGATCCTCCAGTCTGAGTGAGAGCAGAGCGAGGTGAGGGAGTTCGCAGAGACACGCATTGAGCACGGGGGAGAACGAGGGAAGGGGAGCGGGGTTTCCTACTCACAGGAAATGCAGCCATATATCATCCAGCAGATCATGCAGAGCAGGAAAAACAGGTAACCCATGAAGTAGCGGTGATTCCCACTTCCTGTTCAGGAGAAAGAAAAAAAAGACACATCATGTGCAGATCAAATGATTTACAGTCACTTGTAATTTTCCATTTGCACTCTGCAAGGGAGCTAATAAAGCATTGTGATAAAAAGCTACAAATCCCAGTCAGTGAATGCGTTGACGTACCAACACAGTTCCCCACCCAGGGACAGTGGTGGTCAAACTTGGCGATGCAGCGGTTGCACACGGCGCAGTGTTTGGACCTGATGGGCTTCCGTATCTGTCAGGACAAAGTCGCAAAAGCGCAAAGCGCTTGTGTTATTGTTTCTATTCTGCTCTGCATGTATGGTGATGTAACAGAGGAGTGTGATTTTTACCAAACAGGTGCTGCAGAAGATGCTCAGATCCAGGCTGCCTGTCTCTGCCAGCTCCACTATTGTCTGCAGGAAGGAAGAGAGAAACAAAAGCAGGATTTCTGAATTTATTTGCTGAAAGCGGACAGAGACAGGACAGAGTTCTAATTGACACGGCAACAAAATAACAACCGTAGAGCTGAGAGATCCCACCAAACAAAAGCTACAATGGAAGTAGTACAATTCAATACGATCATTAGGTTGGTTTCGGTTTTAAAGGAAAACATTCTTAACATAAAAGGGTTCGGACCTGAGCAGCAAAAAAAAACATTTACAGCATTGCAAACATTAGATTACTGTGCAAATAAACTAAAATCAGAGGACAAGAGGTGGAAGGGGATGAATGGAAAGCTTTGAGGCCTCTGATGGAGAGGCGAGTCCTGTCCTGTCCTGGACAATGCTGGTTAAATATAGCTCTCCATCAATCACAGGGACTGGTAGGAAGAAGAGGCCTCTGTTGTTCCTCATTAGTGCGATAATCACCAACTTACACAGCTCACTGATGTTAAAATGGTACGTGATGGGGGGCCTGCATTCCCTGCTCACGAATCAAGGCACGGTGTCGAGGATTCCCCTGCGCTCATGCTTTCCTTTCCAAGCTTGCTTTAACGTCCCTTTAATAATGCCCCCCGCACTCACTTTTATACACTGAGAGGAGTAAAATACGAATACAAAATCTGAAACAGCAGAAAGCATCATCACTGCGTAGTATGTCCACCGTGCTGCTGGTGTCTTTACCTTTTTCTTCTGCTCCTCTGACGCTTTGATGATTCCCGGGTCAGACTTCCAGGATTTACCAAAGTTGTAGAACAGAGCGACGGTGTTTATCAGGAAGGGCATGTGGACAGTGGCAAAAGGGAGATGTGCAGTGAAAGGTTAAGGAAGACAAAGACCTCCTTTGTGTTTACCACAATCATATCCTCTTTTTTTCTATGTCAACAAAACTGTGTCCCATTGCAATGACTTTAATAGGAGTCGGCTTGTCCTGGGATGGTAACTCGACTAACTGACATGATCTGTGTCATTCAGTTCATCGGGACGTCCTTCCATGAATACACACAAGGGAGACCATGAACCATTCCTGAACTAGCAGCCCGCACACACGTTGCTACTCAGTGTGTTCACAGGGAAGTGGACCGATATCGGTTCCCAAAGAGCACTTGTGAGCAGGTCCTTCGTGTCACCGAGTGGAGCCTGTCGATTATTTGTTGTAGAGTCACTCTGCAGGTGTTCGCCAGATAAAATCCCACATAAAAATGAAAACATAGAGGCCTCGACCCAATTTGCTATGTGTGATTAAAAGTGGGAGTACTGAGAAACAAATCTTTGACTATGGAAGCAGGCTTTCACTTGTGTTCCATCCTGGTGTTTGGATTAGGTTCTTAAATTGAAACATCTGCATCACAAGTTTAATTTATACTGAAAGTGTATATGCAAGCTTGTTAAATCTCACAGGATGTCACTGTGTGAGGAACCGTTTTTCTACTGCTGCCCCTAGATCCGTGCAGCTAGGGTTGCTAAATATCTCCGTGGTTAGCCTGAAATGTAAACCTCAATCGCTCTTCCTGATCCATCAAATACTATTTATTTTTATATTATCTACAGCCAAACTCATCCTCCTTTAAATCATACATTCAGGTTTGCGAAGAGTTTCTCTTCTTCAAATGAATTGTAGGGCAATAATAAGCCATTTAAGTTGATAGTACACGCTTCGATTCAAACTGAACTCTTGGATTTGGATCGTCAAAACAGACCGATTCAAACGAACCAACAAAGGCCAAATCGAGCATAGCAGACGATACTAAAGAACACAGAGCTCAGTTAGTCTGATGGACCACACGAAGCCATCGATCCCCACAAGTATCTCCATAGAGAAGTGGGTGTCGACTGGATCAGTAAAACCCTCTCAGGGCTCGTCACTGCTCACTCCTCTCTCTCCTCAAACGGGTTGGAATGCTTACTCAAGGAGAGACGGTGGTAACCTGCTCATAGCACCCATTCATCTTTTGAAAGGCCGAGAGGTGAGGTGTTTCTTTTTTACAATGTCCTCCTAGCAAGAGGGTCCCAGACGGATTGCTCAGTTTGGTACTGAAGACCCACAAAGACACACAGACATACTATTGTGAGATTAATGCTACATCAGTACAGTACAACACTCTAGGGTCACCTGCTGGAAATGCATTCAAGAGCAAAGTCCATTGAGGAAAATATGATCCGATTCCGTGAAAGGCGCACTGCATTTTGCTCATCATGAGCAATTGAAGGAAACGTTTCCACTCCCGTCTGACCAAATAATCAGGCCAGGACACTTTAAACCAGATGTTGGAGACCTTCAGCCGACAAGTCAAACATAAGGTTTATATCATCATCTTAGATCCAAGATCAGTAAACCAAGTGCAGATTCAAGAAATATTTAGAAAATGCAAAGGACCATGCGCTCCAATCCACTCTTTATGCTTTGTTTAATGTGAGGAGTTGGGTTAATCGAGATCAACAGCTGGCGGTCAGGTCCTATTACACAACTGCAGAGGAGGAGAAGATAGCATAATTGAATAAGTCCCAGGGAACGCTCAAACAATTGAAACCAAAGTCAGTGGAGTCTCCTCACCTCCCCTAACTGGTCTGATCTTTCCATCCGCTACTTCTGCTTCAGTGGACCATGTTCGTCGCCATTTATTCTCCATCGGTTTTCATTAGATCTTTTTTCCACCTCAGCCAAGGTGAATATATTTTTGTATTGTGATATTTGGGCTTTTTAACTGCCAGCGTTTCCACCAATTTATGTTCACTTTGAATTTGAAAGAAAACTTCACCAGTGCATGAAAAACAATGTCTCGCTTTAAAACACGCTCCAGACCATCCATTCCCAAAATGCTCCTGATTTTAATAAAACATTTGCATAGATACATGCGATTATAAATACATAACTCAATTATATGCATAGAGGCAACAAGAAGCCTCTGTCCAACAGAGAGAGCGAGCGATAGCGAGAGAGCCAACAGTTGAAAAGGCTGCAGGACCTCGCTGAGCTGTCGGGAACATGATTTAAATAAAAACCCACCATTACTGGAAAGAGATACATGGCAGATAGAACAAAGGCTAAATGACTACTGCGATAGCTGGAGGCATAACGAGAAAAGGCCCTTTTCAAAAGGAAACGTCTCCGGACAAGAAAGCGCAGCTTGTATTGAGTGTAGCAACAAGCATTTACTAGACTGCAGGCTCAAACGGAGCCTCACCAACGCTCTTTGAGGCTCAGGGCACATTTGAAGACCCGGCATGGGGGGCAGGTCAGGAACATGTCAGTCTGTGGTACATTTCCTTCCATCAATTCTATCTGCAGACACTCCACACTAAACATCTCCAGCGGCATTTAGAGGAACAGACAACACAACGGTTTTCTTTGACAATAACCTCAGGTCAAAGTCATGCTACCCTCTTCCCATCAGCGCAGCAGAGAGGCAGAAAACTAAATGCCCTCCACAAAGGAGAACCGGGCTAAAGTCAACCTACAGGCATCACAGGCAGCAGGGAAAACATGTAAACTACCACTCCATATTTCATTGACACCTTGTGTGCAATTTCACAAACTGCCCTACAAATTAATAAAAGCTCAATAAATAGCCCGTTGTGTGACACAACGGGCCAGCATGTGACACAAGTGAGAGGCTATGAATTGACGTTTGTTTTCCAGACGGTGCTACAGGTCTGGAAGCATTGGAACTTTATTTACTCTTGACTGTTATATTTCTGCAGTCATTATTCTAAGCTAACCTGCCGCAGACCGCTGTGTACAGATCATTCTGCTCATATAACTTACAGCCAGATAGCCAGATGTTCCCAAAAGGTTGTGAGAAAAGCAAAGGCTGATCTTCTTCTTCTCATCTTAAGACGGAAAAGGATATCGTTCCAGAACCAGTAGAACCAGGTAGCGTACATCCAGAACTTGGTGGCCAGATAGATTCCCAGAGGGAGAGCGCTGTGCATGGAGTGGTCGAAGAAAGCCCTGCACAGAAAGAGAAGGGGGGGTGGGGGGTCATCAGCAGGGTTCTCTTGATCTGTCCTAGTTTTGCCAGTCACATTTCTGTTTAATTACAACTGATTTCTGTAGTTTAAGTCTAATGATAAAAAGAGGGAATTGTCCTTTAACGGGCATTAGTCCCACTGCACTGCTCAGCCTGTGTGTTTAATATACCATGGCCCCCCTGCAGATGTGAACCAGCACGCTGTGGCACATATGGACAAATGCAAGCTGGGTCTTAGATGGGAATCCTGCAGACAGCAGCAAAAATAAACGCAACCGTAACCTGCAGCTGGACTCACAGCCACCATGTTCAACAAGTAGGTATTACAAGAATGTCAGTAAAGAGAAATAAACACACTGCGTAATGTGTGTTATTTTAATCTCAGAGCAAACAATAGTGAGGACAACAAACAACACTGGCAGGACCAGGTGGCAGCGGTAATGGGGCTTAAGTAGGGGGAGCAATGTATGTGTGTGTGTGTGTGTGTGTGTTTAAGAGACTATTTGTTTACAAACGGCATGGAATGTTGGAAATGACATACACAATATGTGCATGTGCAGTTTATGTGTCTATCCAGTGGCGTTTTATCAAAACCAGATGTAGTATGCTGTATGTGTGAGGTGTCAGTACATTGGGTCTAGTATAGCCCCCTGGAAGAATTGAAGAGGTCGCCTGTGACCTTAATTCCTCGACAATCTGCCATGACTGCGGTTTGACAAAAAACATCCAGAGCAATTACGTAACACAACAGTTTTGACAAGACGAGTCCAGTGTGGATTGTTTGTGTGATTTGGGCAATACGAAAAATACGAAAAATGTTTTTGATAGATTAGTTATTTAATGCACAGACATGAAATCCCCTGGTAACACTATGCGAGTGTACTGGTGTGTCATGTGGGTCTTTGGTGGCCGGAGACGTACTTGGAGAGGCACTGCACGGTGACCCAGACGCCGGCGTACATGAGGCCCTTAACCAGCCACGAGTCAATGTCCAGGTCAGCGATGAAACCAACCAGCCAGATGACCAGGAAGGGTGTTGCCAGCATCACCTTCTGCCTGAACTCCTGCAGGAAAAGGAGAGGAAGATAGAAGAAGCAGCAGGAAGGTAGGAGGCATAGGAAGAAAAAAGATGGAGTAAAAGGTGGAATGGGGGAAAAAAACAGGTGGGAGACAGAGAATTAGTACGAAACCTGGACGCCGGAGATTAGACAAAAATGGATAATACAGATGCGATTTTAACAAGCAGGAATGAGCCCCCATTCAACTTGGGAGGGGCGTGGGGGGTACAAAGAGCTTCGTAAAAGTAAAAATATTTCTATGATTCATAGGGTAATGAATCATGAGCTATCTACCTACTGGCTGATCACCAACAGTGCTGCACTCATTTCCAACAGTTTCTATTTTAAGGGAGAGTGCCAACAGCAGTTTGAAATATTAGATATATTATTATTTATTAGAGAAATCTGACTGAAATATTCATGATTCAAAGAGTTTCATGTTTATAAATAATCAAACATTACATCTTTTTTATAGCTATTTGTATAACAATATTTGTGTCTCAGCCGTGGAGAAAAGTAAAGAGAAAACCAAAGAAGTTAGAGGTATTCTACAAATCTAGTTACAGCCTTTAAAGCTCTACTCACCAGGGCCACTGAAGGGGAGGAAAAGCTCAGCTGGGCATCAATTCTAGTCAGGTTTTTCAACACTAACTAGTCTTATTCTAAAAGTTACCTTCTTCAACTAGTAAAATCCCAGCAGACAAGTGGAAAGACAACACACGTTAACGGTTTTAAGTAGAAGCAACACGTTTATGCATGCACAATCTTCAATATTTGAGCAAACAAAATCTGCAAAGAAACATTCAGAGACAAAAACAAACCAGCTACAGATGTTTGTGTGTTTTACGCCGCCGGGTTTAAAGTTCAATGCATGAGAAGAATATTTATCTGGACGCATGTCAATGAATGAACTGTAGTGACTGGATGCTATAAAAGTTGTTCCTGTATTTTCCAGTAGTTGTAATATCAGACACAGCTTGTCTGACTGTCTGCTTGGGGGCAGTTTTAGACTACAAGGTAGTCCCAATCCCAGACACGCTGTGAGGCCGTCCCCTGGTTCAGTGTGGACAGGCTGAGCAATCCATCTGACTGAGACAGAAGCTGGCCATCAAACGAACACACACAAACGTGTGTGTGTGTGTGTGTCTTCACAGCGAATATTAGATGTTCACGTGACCCAAATGAAAGCATTGTGTCTACTTGTTCAAATTTTGAGACCACAATAAATATTGCTTGACTGTTGTACACCATAAAACGCCTGTCCCGTCCCGTTTGTGTTGGAATGTGTTTGAGCGCGTGTCTGAATGTGTACCTTGTCCATCTTCAGTCTTTTTAGGTAGGATGGGCTGTCGTAGCCTTTGGCTTGCCGCGCTTCCTGTAAGTGATTGATCATCCAAACGTTCTTCCTTTGCTTGGCGAGATCTAGGGGTGTTTCGCCCTAAAAACAACCGCACAAGAATGCTCTTTACAAATCCACCATCCCCAAAAGTCTGAATGAACTGAACAAATGGGGCCGTACGGGTGCACCGAGACAGTGGTTTGGGCCGCTACCTTGATGTTCTGTGCGTCGACGTTAGCGTTGGCGTCCAGCAGCAGGCTGATGACTGTGGTGTTGCCGGCCAGCACGGCCCAGTGCAGCGCTGTATTCTTGTGATATTTGTCGCCCAGGTTGACGGACACATTGAAAGTCAGTAGCAGCCGGGTGGGATCCACACTGTCACACAAGGGAGGAAAATTGAGTCAAACAAAGAGGCTCGTCACAAGCAATAAATGGAGAGATATTCTGTTGAATATCAAATATTACAAAAAAACATCTAGTTCAAGCGTAAGCGTTTTTTTTTTGCCTGCAGCAGCAGTTCAATTGCCCAAAAAACATCAATATCATTAGAAAATGCTCCATTGAAACTTGTGTGGATCGGATTTAATTTCCTACAATATTATTTGCAGTCTGTCTAATGGATGTCGACTCTTTATGCATGAGGAAGCTGCGCGTGTGGCGGCAGTCAGCAGATACATGAAGCTTGAAATGAATCAAAGAAACTGTAGCAGCAACACTCTCAAATAACACATGTACACACCTGTGCGTCCTGTAAGCCGCCCACATCAGAGGAGTCATGCCGTTCTGATCCATCATGTCCACATCCTGACAGAGGAAAGATGCAATCCAAAAAAAACGAACGACCCGAATTATTAGTGGGCGTTGGAAAAGACAAGCACGAGGGCTCCCTCTACTGGAGAGCATTCCCTTTACAAGTATAGCTGCTGCTGGGAAATGCCCCATCTTGAGTATTCTAGCAATACGCCAACTTCCTGACGAATGAGCTGCCGTGTTGACGTTTCCCACCTGTCCTTTGGCGATGAGATAGGCCACGATGGAGGTGTGGCCAAACTGTGCGGCCAGATGGCCGCAGCTGCAGCCCTCGCCGTCGATCAACGAGGGGTCGGCGCCGTACTTCATGAGCTGCACCACCATGGACAGATGGCCTTGTCTGGGAGGAGATCGAAAAGAGCGCAAAACATAGGACGCGTCTTATTGGGACAACTCACCACTCAAAGAGTAACATGTTTCAAATGAACAGTAGTGTGCTCTGGTTCCGTTTGATCTTTACTGGAGGTGTTTTATGTCTTTAGGCAGGTGAATGCTTTGTAGTCTGGTAAAACCAGCCAGTGACACACAGGAACAAATGACTCTTTTTACAGAGGTCTGGTGTGAAGAAGGTCAGAGACATTTTTACTTCATCACACATTTAGATGCTGAATGGGGGACCGGCCTAAACTCAACAGCCCACAGATCAGGGCCGTATTCACTCCTATTAAGCAGTCATATTTGCCCATGCAATTATGGAGCAACATGTGCTGCTGCGACAGCGACAGACTCCCTGTCTGCTTTCATCATCTGATGTTTGTCTCAGCTGTTTAGCGAGTGATTTGTTATTTGCCTATACTGCATATGGTATTCAAAATGTATTTTTATAACAAATTCCCTCTCTCTCTGCAAAGTAAACCTCTCCCTGGAGCAATAAAGACGGGAATAAATGTAATGTCGAAGATTTATCTCATGTGAGAGTTTTGTTCTATGGTACATAGGCTGAGGGGCTTTTAAAGGTCAATGTCAGGTGGGGGCCGGGTGGTAAGGAGCTGGTTCGAGACACATACTGTGTGTGTGTGTGTGTGTGTGTGTCATTCAATAATTCAGGATGAGGAGCAAAGCCCCACTGGCTGCTTAGAAGAGAAACCTGTCCCTGTTAAACCACTCAGTGAGAATTACAAAACGGAATCAGAGTCCTAAATGTGTGTTTAATGGAGGGATTTAGGAATGAGAAATCTCTTCTTTGAAGCAGACAATATATAACAACTCTAAATGCCCTAGTGACAACAATCGGGAAGCAAACAAAAGTGTTTCCTAGAATTAGATCCTTTCTGTTATGACAATTTGTGAAATTGAATAAAGGCTTTGTGAAATCCAATATGTCCACCAAATGGCACATGTGTTGTTTGCAGGGTGTGTGTGTGTGTGTGTGTGTGTGTGCGTGTGTGTGTGTGTGACCTGGTGGCCCAGTGCAGAGGTGTGGAGTTGAGGTCTCCTCCCAGCTGGTCCACTATGGCTCCCTTAGTTATGTAGTACCTGCACACACAAACACAATAGTCAGGTTGAACTTCAAACAGCATCCATTCACCAGACAATCTCATTTTGATAAGCGAATCAAGGTGTGGGCTGCACTAATGGTAAAAGAAAAAAACACAATTCAATGTGACTGTTCTTCTGCCAAAACGCTGGGACCCAGAGCCCACACAAAGAGTGGACAGTATTCAGCACAGTCAAAAACAGTTCTGCAAAATTAAATGGAAAGTGGAGAACTCATGTAAAGCTGAAACTAATATGCGTCAATCGATTCATACTTTTACAAATGTTTGTTCTCAGAGGATTTATCCGTTTTATGCAATGGTACATTGAATATATGTTTAGGTTATGGGTCATATAAACCCATGGTATATGGCAAACACTAATTATAACTCTTGAATTGTTGTATCACCTGTTTCAAACAGTAATTAGAGAAAAGGAGTTGCAGGAGAGGGTCGAACACTATCAGCAGTATTTGGAGAACATGTACGACTGCAACCTCAGCCTGCATATTGCTAAGGATGCATTAAACCTGAAGTCCCCGAGTGACCTGAATACAGCGGGGTAAAATCTCAGTGTGTGTTTAGAAACAGGATCTGCCTTTGCATCGGGGAGCATCGTTTTTGGTGCGATGCGGTAGGGTGGGAGAAAATACGTTCACCGGAAAGGCGGTTAACCCGGGGGCTTCTACCGCCGTCAGGGCGACGCGCTCCGTGGATGCAGCAAGAGGCGGGTCGTCTCGGTCCTGCTACCAATCGGCCGGCCCGGGGGGAACTTGCCCTGTGCATGGCCCTCCGGGCAGAACAGGCGGACCCGCAGTCCGGAGACAGTAGCTCCCAGCTTGAAAAACTTGCTGGGATGGTTGTGTTTTAGGTGAGATTTTAGTTTAGTTGTTGCCACTGTTCTTAAACAAAGTCGACGGCTCGTCCCCATTTGGACTTGTTTATCTGAGGCTGTGCGATTGGCAAACATTTTGGGGACATTCATTCATATGTAAAAATGAATACAATGTATCACAGCACCATTTTCATATATTGTGCGATAAGTCAATATATTGATTTACGCAACAGGCCTATCAACAACCATCTATGGCCCCAACAACTTGGTACAAAATGGGACTGGACTCACTTGACCAGATCTATCCTGTTGTTGATGGCGGCCCAGTGAAGGAGCGTTACGTTTTCTTTGTCTGGCTGCCGGACATCGAAGCCCGCCTCCACCAGCTCCCTGCAGCGCTCAAAGATGCCGTACCTGAGGAAGAGGAATTAAAGGGATTTCATCTCAAACACAGACAGATATTCCAGACCTCAAAAGCAAACGAACCATATCTGTTGGTGTCTCGTGTAGCATCTTGCGCAGAGCTTCTGTTGTCTAAATAGGACATATTTCTCTACCTCCCCACATTCTGTCCTCACTCACTACTTTAGCATATGCAGATTAATGCTGGCGGGGTTTAGTCTACATGTTGCAGTGAAACATCTGTCCTGAATAAACCATTTCAACTAAAGACATATTTAAAAGGAAAATAAAAAATATTTTCTGCACAACTGGGCGGCTATGATCAACTTGTCTGAGACAGACAGTCGCGTGATAAAAACTCCTGAAAAATATCGTTAATAGATGTGTGCACTCCAGGCTGCCCCATGTTCCATGTCGAAGTGTCCCTGAGCTAGACACCTAACCCCTAATTGCTCCCTGGGCAAAAATGTGAAAAAAGCCATGGGTTTAAAGTGTAATGCAAGTCGCTTTGGATAAAAGCGTCTGCTAAATGACCTGTAATGTATATAATTTAATGCACTCAAATGTTGTGTATATAGCTTCCATTTGTTCAAATTTTGGTAACAATAAATTAACAAAGGAACTCCTTCTGAGGATACATTGTGAATTTGACATCACAATTCTAATTTATTTGTTTCCCAGTTTGGATTCATAATAAAGAAAGTTACAGTCTTAATGAGACCCTCGCTCAGACTGAGAATAACAACAATGGTGAAACCAAACATCCCAATCTGTCCACATGGCCCCGAGAGCACCGTGCTTATATCTGATCCACTCACTGTGTGGCTTTGACAATGTCCCAAGTGCTGTAGTCGTCCACATGGTTCTTACGGCTGACGGTCTCAGTGTAGCCGTGGTTGTAATGACTCTGCGGTTTGATTTCCTAAAAAGGAGGAAACAAATAGGTTGTTACGGTTGTGCTGCTTTATTAGAGGATGAACATGATGTTGGAACACAAACGAATGCCCTTGCTTTGCACGTGAACTGCGGTTGTAGGTATTTGTATTATAAACATGTCTTCGGATTGATATCAGATACAGGTTTACGTTTTGAAAAATATGTCCTTTATGAAGAAACATTTTTGGCTTGTCAATAGCGTTGTTTTTTTAAATGTGTGGATATTGTGAAAGCCCCAATAACAGGGGGGTTCTGGTCTGAACAAGGGGTTTGACGTTAAATACATTTTTAGAATGTTAGTAAAAAATGTCAACACTGGGTTGCTAAACTGGAAAGTGTCTGTAGGGTCTTCAGATCTCCAGACCCTGTATCCCTCGAGGACATTTTTGCTTGGCTGTGTCCAACAAATAAGACAAAACCAGTGGCTGTTCCCACCGCAGCACATTCTGTAGAGGAACACATGACACGCTGGGTGGAGCTGCAGTGATATATGATGTCACCACAGACTTAAACTATAAACAACGATAAGACATCAAACAACAAAACTGGAGGGAGAGTCAAGGCGCCGTCAGCGAAGCTAACCTGCACACACACACTTCCTCCTGAGGGCGACATGTAAACAGAGCATCCACACTGTCACAGCTTCCAGCAGGCTGTACGCAATATGGACATGGTGTCCGTGACCTCACCCATAGGTTTCTGAATAGCCGCCGTTAAGCTCAGGGTGGGGAGATCGTCGCCATAGCCTCACTGTCACTGCAAGTGGTCTTTTATATGCAGAAGTTGACATGAACCAGATGGTTGGGTCCTACAGAAATCCCCTGCCTGTACTGGGGTCAGCAGCCCGGGATGGTATAGCTCTAGAAACCAATGCAGTTTTTGTAGCAGGTCATTTCCAACATGGCGGCCCATTTGTTGTCCAGCCTCGAGTCGATATTTGAATTTTAAAAGTGCGAGACATGGCCGCTTGGTGTGAACATGAGTAGTGACTTGTCAACAGTTAGGATTGTTTTTTTATCACGGCAGTGATTCAATCAAATTAGCTATAATTTATGTTATTAGTTCTACCTGGGATGTTTCTGCCAATATGAGTCAGAATGTCTGCGAGAGATGTGTGTGAACTGGATTCAACTTGACACCATAACGAAACTAAAGCGCCATGACGGGCCAGGAGCCTCACAATTTTAGTCATCAGAAAAATAACATTATTGCACAAGATGGACAAGCCTGATTGAACTACTACGTCCTCGCTTTGGGACAACACTTTCATTCCATGGTCGTGGTATTAGAAGAGTGAAATAGCGGTTTTGGGCCTGAAACAGAAGGGTTTATATCTAAATGTGTCACACAGCTGTGGCGGCTGTGCAACTCGCATTCAATTAGTCCCCATAGCAACGTCGGGGAAACCGTGATTAGCCTTCCTCGCCCATAGACAAGGGCCGAGTGTGGTAGAGACAGAGGGACCACGTTGCCCTTTTGCCATTCTGATTTTGTGGAAGAACTGTAATTAACTTTGCAACATGTTGTGCCACGTGTGGACATACACACCGCAATCAGCAAAAGGCGGCTAAAGTAAAACTATACACTCGCCCGAACATGTAAAATAAAGAAAACCAGTTAGATTCTCCATTCTCTTTTCTCGTGCTATGACTAGCGTGGGGAGTAGGAGAGTGAAGGTGGGGGCGTGAAGGCGATATTTAATCCGTCAAAGCTGTCCGGAGGCGTTTCTACTTTTCACAGCCAAGTTTTAGTAACTTGCGAATCCATAAGATCTGTTTCAACTATGCCATGTGCAATTCAGGCTAGATTGGCTGCCAGAGAAAAGTGAGAGTAACTTAACAGGAAATATCTTATCTCCATCTGGATATTCATTTGAGCTGCAACGAATGTGTTTCGACGGATGAAGACGTCCTGGATAGAAACCCTCTGACAGCAGCCATTTATTCACCTTCCTCATCTCAACCTTCTATGGGGATGACCTTCGACCCCTTCCCAGTTACAGCAGCACCAACCCCTCTGTTCATTTCTTCCAGCCATTTAAAAAGCTGACCTTTGGAACTTTTTGGATGTGTATTTCTCCGAAACAAGGGATGGACCCATCTGCCAATAGCTGGGCTTTGGGTATTGGCCAATAGCTGCTACTGATCCAAAATCAGTGCGCTCATCAGTAGCTGGTAATCTTGAGTGTGAGCTGGAGCCATGAAGAAGTCCCAACAGGAAACAGCAGCTACTTAGCAGCCTAGAGACCTTGTTCATCGCTACATGTTGGCACATATATACACACACACACTGGTATAATCTACTTTATTATGCCGTGGCTCCACACCATCACCAAAAGATAGGCAAGCTCATCACCTCCGCGAATGGTTAAATTGCAACGACTTGCATTGCAAACAATTTGCCTTCACGGAAGACAAATAATGTGCTGGAGCAGAGGGTTCAGGGCCTCATGCACAACATCTCAAGCCAAGATCTCCCCCGAGAGTCAAGTGGAAAATGGGTGGAGGAGAACAATTCCTTGACTGAACGCAACATATATCTGGAACAACAGAAGCCTAGAGAGGGTAAAAAGACGAGTGCTGAACAGTAATAGCCCCAAAATCAGATTCCAATTCCAACCTCGAGAGAAGAATATGAAAATGGGGCACAACTGATCTTACGATATCAAAGCTTAGATGGTCACGTGTCAAGGTCAAGTGTGGCAATGTCAGTGTGTTCAGGTCAGACTGCACGATTACAAGAAAACCAAATATAAACAGTCAAAAATATACATATTATTGAAAAAGACAATTCCTTTCTTATTAATACAATTGCACTGTGGGGGGGGTTTTGCCTCTTAATTGCACAGCTGCCTCCGGGTGATGCGTAAAACAAGTAGACAGGCAGCAGTGATGTAATCCTGAATACATTTCATGTCACTTTAATTTCCATGCTAACCATTGATTTTAGGTTGAGTCTTATCTGTTCAGTGAGGCAGCAGTCCCGGCTTTTGTTGATGCGACATATGGCAAACGCTCCTTTGAAGGTGCGGGTCACGTATCTTTTTTTTCCAAAATGTGTGTTCATCGGTGTACTGTACGATGTAGTGGTCATAGCAACAGTAAAATACGGATGGCAAATTTCTTATTGGCAATTAACATCCAAAATCAGAGAAAAAACGATAAAGACAAAAATGATAATAATATTTTCGCACTGCAACAACTACATTGCTTTTTTCTTCTTGCTGGCTGTGGCCGTAGCTCAAAATCAAATTTGATCGTAAATGGGAGACTAATTCAATAGTCAAGGCCTAGTTTACGTCCGGGGATCATGGGGAATTGGAGGGGGGACATTTGTTTTATGAGGGAAATAATGTGAACGCACTAAGGAAACAGAATGGACGATTTCCAATTTGTAAAGTATCAAATCAAGTGCTTGAGCGCTTCTTTATTTGCCTTTAACACTCATTTGCGTTTTTAAATGGGGAAATTGTCCCTTACGTTCAGAGAGAGAGAGAGAGAGAGAGAGAGAGAGAGAGAGAGAGAGAGAGAGAGAGAGAGAGAGAGAGAGAGAGAGAAGAAATGTTTGCATTTGACATGCTGAACTGATTTCTGAGCATGCAGCTCGACTTCTGATGCTCCAAATTCAGGTGCCTCGTGCGTTCAGCCCAACTATTCCCCCCACAATCTACCCAATGACCCAGATTCACAGCAGCAACTTGCTGAAAACAGAGGCAACTTTAAGCCAAGCAAGCATAGGCAGAACAAACCCAATCTACGAAGACGCGACCACTGTCTTTCAGTACGACAGGCATATGTGCTCCCAGAGGTTTCACTCCAAAGACGGTTTACCTCTTGACAGATTGGAGGGAAATAAACGTGGGATCTTGGGCAGTGGAAGTCAGTCAGTCAGACTGAGGAGAATCCGTCAAAATACAATATGTTGCATGACGTTCCTGTTTATTTAATGTGAACAGTCAGGTCTCCCCTTGGTGTTTTACAGTGCTTAGGTGCTATGAGGCTGTTGGACAACGGGGAGAAGACAACCAGCTCTGGACTTGAATTCTGACAGATTACTGGCATTTAATTTGCTCTCATTTTTTGCATGACGGGAACATTGTATAAATGACAGAACCCTCGTTTTCAAACACCTCCCACACACTGCAATGGCACTGACATTTCTGATTTTAGAAAAGATAAATTGAACATCAGCATTCTGTACATTTACCATTTAAACAAATGCAGTCAAACAACAGGCCAGAACAAATAAGGTGGTGCTACAGCATCCTGAGCTTTAGACAAGGTGCAAGCAGTTAATGTCTTCTACATAAAAGGGTAGACAATATCACCTACAGTGTCTCTTTGATCTACAATCTGAGTTGATTGAATATTTAAAGCCCTACCTGCAAAACAGAGATAAATTGCATAAAAACATGTATTAAACGTCAGTTAGAAATAAGCAGCTACCTTTCTCACAATGTGTTTTTGTATTTGTATGCAATCTCACGCACTTGCTCCACCTCTTACACTGAAACCAACAATACTTGCCTAAGTTGGTATGAGTTCTGGCATTACTTTCCAATCAGGTCAATCAGGTCGGGGTAACAAAGCAAAGATAGTAATTACTTTTCCAATAATTAGGAGTTCTATCTTTATTAAACCCAAACTGAAAATGTCCAGGAGGAAAGAGCTTAAATTTGATATAAAAACGTAAAAGAAATAAGGCTTTATCCTAAATTATAATCAGTAAACTTCAGATTGTAAGCTATAGAAATGTAAAATAACCTCATAATCACGTCTTACACTATCTGATACTCCTCCCTTTGTATAAACTAAACTGACCAGATAAACACGCAGTACTTGCCTTCACACGCGCAGCCATCATGGACCACCTGTTCCCATTAAGGTGTCATGTATGAATGTGAATCTATAATGCAGTGAAAGCAAATCTATTTGTGGAAATTAGAATATTTAGGATATAGCGTCATTACCACTTAAGTTCCATAATGGCATAAATTGTAAGCAGGACTTTTACATTCAGTTTTTTTAATGACACTGTATCATCAGCCCAAATAGCTAGATGATATTTAAGACCGTACAATAGCCAAAGCAAGTTATAAAGGGCTTTATATCCGTTACAAACTATTTCTCTACGTTTGTGAACCCTTCTCTCAGCATTTTCAGGGCTTACTGGAAATAAAATATTGGAATAATTTCAACTGCACACTGCCAGAATTAACAGTTACTGACCATGAGCCAGTGAGCGCGAGCGTAAATTAACCCACCTAACTGCAAACACTCAAGCAAAAACAGGAATGTGCAGAAAAAAGCAGGCCAACTATCAGAGGAAACTGTAACACGAGCTCTTCCTGACAGAGAACCTGCTAAGCAGATACTGATGCATAATAACCAGGCTTTGTTCAAGATGCAAATTCTAGACTAAACAAAACTATCCACAACCACAGAACGAATGCATACAAGCTCTGTAGCAATATTATGGCACTATATGCAAGTGATACACAACACATATAATAAATAACGTGTGAATATAAAGCCTTTGGTTTGTGATGAACGTTATGGGAAACACAGCCCATGTGTCATCAAGTTGCATGTGACCGTGCTGGCTATAGGAAACCACAGGCATGCAACTGATGTGCAGCGTAAAATAATAGATAACATTAGGTAACTTGGGCTCAATTAGGTATGCAACTTTGTGTCGGCTAGGTGTCATTGGCTAACAATGCCAAAACAGGCCTTTCAGCTGCAATGTGATTTCTGTATTGTGTCTGTGTTAGAAAGAAGAGGATTCCTTTGTGTTCATTAAAAATAATGAGCTCATCTCGACTCGCATTCCTAGCATGACAATGTCTCACAGTGTCAACACAGGTAGATGCAGATAACGTCACTGTAAATACCTTCCGGGAGGAGCTGCTTTAACATGAGGTAAGCTAGCTGACAGCAACTACAAGTCCTGTTAACGACACGAACATCGTTCACAACACAAAACGAGTCGCTTTGTTCTCATTCATGGATGTTTATTTAACCTTATTGTGATTTTCGAGTGGACGTACACTTCAACCCAATTGACATCCCCGCAGCTATGCGAGCCACCACTACCAGCTTCGCTAATGTGCAGACCTAACGGCGTATGACTTAAAGGATTAAATAGGCATAACGTTCATTTTACCAATTACAGACTTGGGCACACAGCTTGCAGTCTCGTTTGCTTGCTACACGGTGTCACTGTCACACAAAGAACCACCTAGCATAACGTTGACATGTACAGGAACATCTGCCCAGCGTGTCTTTGCTATGCAGCAGGAAGAGGAGGAGGGCTCTCGTTAGCACCGTTAGCATCGTTAGCTTCCTGCCACCCCCCGCCGTTGTTCCTGCAGGGGGCATCGGAGTTTCTGAAAAAGCACGGCAAACCCCCACAGCCACCGGCACACAGACGGGTGTGATGGGTTTTGTGTATGTTTGTGTGTCCGTGCGAAGACATGAAGTCCAGTGACCATACCTCGGGATGGAGAATAGGGACGCAGCCAGCTTCTTTCTCATATTCCTCCATCGCGTCGGCCATCTTGGTGGTGAGGTTCGCAGAGCATTGTGGGAAACGGGAGGCTGCGTGTAGGGGGGAAACAAACAGAGGAGGAGCAGAGAGGAGCAGCAATAAAAAGCACTGATGAAAGACAGGCCATACCAGACAGGTGAAATACGTATAGCACATTCAGTGACCGAGGGCAAGGATTTATATTCCCGTCATCAAATTCAGTTACGTACATTATTATTGTGAATACTTTCTCCAGGGCTTCGAATCGAAGAAAGATCGAAGAAAGGCCTGATGCACTCGGATTTTTTTTTCTGATAGGAATACAGAATAGAGTATATAAATGAAAATCCCGACATGGTTTTCCAGTGTTGTGCACAGTGGATATTGTCAAAAATGGAAAGACATGGGTGACATCTGACAGTTGACAGGAAGGCCAGAAGCAACCACTGTAGAGCATGGACCACATTGCAGTTACTCATTCTTGCCGATAAATGTTCTCCATGTCCCGTCGCACTGTGCCTAATCTTTACCTCCGTCAGCCGCTGGATGTCACTCTATATCCAAGCATAAATACACGCAGCTCCTCCACTAAAAACAACTGTAGCAATCCCGGGCAGTTTGTAAACATGCAGTTGCTTTTTATTGTTACATATCAATAATACCGTAGAAACCTTGAACTATGTCAGATACCCGTTATAGCCAGTTTACAATGTATATATACATGTATATATATGTTATGCAGCCCGAAATACACGATTTAATGTAACTGATTACTTATATTTCCGAATGAATTTACACAGAGAAGAAGACTCTTTAACGTGACGTATCATCGGAAACATAACTACGTGGTGGTGTAGCAAGACTTGTTAGCAAAGTGGATAGGACGGATCACATGTTTATGATGTCTGTCCAAACAGGCAAATCAGATGATCACGCAGCGGAAAGAAGGAAGTCTCATTGGTTTCATCATATGGAGGACAAAAAATAACTTAAGTATAAATAAATAAATGAAAATGAAGAAAATACAGAAATGTAGAAATAATTTATTTAATGATGTTTATGTATCAACTTATATTTATACATTTCTGTATTTATTATTTTATTGATGTATTTATTTGTTATACATGCATTAAGCATTTATTTATCTATACTTAAGTCATTTTTTGTCCTCCACATCATCAAGTCACCCTTATTTAAAATAAAAACAGGTTGTGCGCGTCTTTTAGCTTGAAATGTACCCGGAAATATTCCGCATCCGGTTTTGTCCCTCTCCGTCAGAGCCGCGCAGGCGGTTGAGGGGCAGTCATTTGGCCGAATATCAGCAGGCAACAGACACGCGAAAGCATCCCAGGAACGACGAAGACCATTTTTAACTTCGCCAGTCCCGCTGCCGGACACACGTGACGCCGCTGGACGGAGGAAGGCGCGAGCCATCACCAGCCGAGGAAGTGACCACTTGACGTCAGTAATGAACATTGTGACGTTGGCGGCTAACAGTTAGCAGTCAGACCAACGTCCCCGAGGACTGCCTTCATATTTACAGCAAGTTTTCCGCCCCCTCCTCGCCCCCCTCCCACACACTCCCCGCGAGCCAGACGGACGACCTACCGGGAGACCCTCAGCGAAGCAAAGGTAACGTTAAGGGCCACAAAAACACAAACATACACTAAACACGCCTGCTAATTTCGGCTAACTGCTCAACTCGTAATTACGTGTCTCCGCAGTCCAGCAGTGCGCGCTATTATGTAACGTTAATAAACCGGGCTATGGATGGATACGTTGAACGTCTAGCAGCTCCTCCATCTCCGTACGCCTCCTGTTCGCCTTTGCACAATTCTGGGGACTAATCTTTTTGTTTCGAGAAGGCACGTATGCCGTTTTAGTATGTATGTAATATGCCACTGTATACAGCTAATTACGTGATGAATAGCAGGTAATGCTTCATTTGATTTGCCTACAAGCATTCTGGGAGATGTTTATGGCTGAAGCAGCAACTTATAAATCCTTTTGGAAGTGGTGTGTTTCTAGGATGTCATGCAGTGCTGAAAATGTTGCTGCTTTTCCCAACTGAGCTCCCCTGCTGTTTACATATTACCCCCCCCATGTCTGAACAACCGATCCTGCTGCAGTGTTGCATGTCTGCAGCTTCCTCAGCCCCGGTGCTCTGTTACCACTTTCACCTGAGCGGAGCCAGCAGCTGAAACAGGAGACTGTTCCTAATGGTGTCAGACACCGGATGCATCCGCCACATCCTGGTCTGTTTTCAGACATCCTATCTGATAAGTGTGTATATTATATTTTCCATTCCCTCTGGACCGTTGGGCTGATTCAGACCACAAATCCGTCGCCCATCGGCACGGCGGTCTTGAAATGTAGTTCCCTCAATTGTCCTCCAATGTGTTGTGATAATCTTGATGTATTGTCTTCTATTTTGGCGTCAGGCAATTTGAGTCAATGATGAAGGTGGCAGTCAGTTGATTCTGTGTAGCTGTGGCAGCTTGGGTTCTGCCACTTACGTACGGTATTTCCATGTTTTCCATCTACTCCTTATTTGCATGTAGATGAAGGGTAATCGCAGACTTTCCATTCTAAACTTTTGCTGAGGTGAAGCTCCAAATCCAGGGTCACAACAGCGACCGGCTCATTTGCCAACCAAATGGAGTTTCCCTTCTAGGGCCGAGCCCTTTGCCTGCTCACTGCTCTGGCAGACACATGCAGACATTCCTTGGACTGCAGAATCTAATTTTGGGAATACAAGTATAAATACTCACATGGAAATGAAAATGGAAACAGATGTAATGAAAACAACACACTGGAAAAATAAACTTTATGCTGCAGACAACATTGTTCCGGGTTTAAAACCAGATTGTAATGAAGCAGTGCCAATAGAGATGTTTTTCGGGATAGTAGCAATTTGATGTGTTCTGACTGGGGGGTATATTCCTGCTTTTACGTAAATAATTATTTTCTACGATACATAAATGCATGAACTCAATTGGACAAATCAGTGTTTTAGTTGTGACATACACGTACATCCACAGCTGTTTTTCTAGAAATGAAGGGTGGCGCTGCCTTGTCTCCACAATAGCTTTCAAAGGCGTTTTATTGTTTAATGTATTTGCACATGAGAAATCTGATAATATCGTCAGGACAAAATGCGGTTAGTCACAATCTCAACTGATACCAATATAGAGTATTATCTTTAAGCTTTGTGAAGTAAAGTCCGGTTTTATTGTCATTAATCACAGTTATAGCCCTCGAATGGCTTTACAGCCGGCCCATTATTGAACAACAATTCAACCCCCTCAGTTTCGGTCCCTCACTGAGCGAATGTTCACCTGTCGGCAAGGCACAGCGACAGCCTTGTCCCTTCCCGCCTCCAGACACTCACGCTATTAGGAGCCATAACAAATGCTGCGTCGCTCCTGAAGTTATTGAAATGCCGAGGCCGGTGCATCAGTGCTGCCTAATCTTCCCAGCAGGGACATTCAGGCCACTGGCTGTTTTTTGGTTGATTGGATTCATTTGCTCCAACAAATGCCAGATGTGCCCGAAGGGAGATAAGTTGCCTCTGCTTTCCCCGTCTGTGTGGATTTGCCCAACAAGCAGCACAAAAGTCAAGTTTTACCTCGCACCGCATTTCTCTAGCGTGTTGTTCAGCAGCTTTTGTCAACACCCTAAACAGCTGCTTTTATTCCAATAGCACTATTTCATTGTCTAGTTTTAATTATTCCGAGAAGCTCAGCTACCCCCTCCCACCCCCACCCCCGGCTCTCATACATCAAACAAAACTGAACAAACATTGCTTTAATACGCACCTGTGTCCGGTGACGACAGGGCTGAGCGTGCTTTCTTCTGCCTCACACTGGGTCGGCTGCTGAGCAGAATTTGTTGTTTGATAAAAGAGCGTGGCAGTGTCAAGCCTTTTATGCGTGTCGAAGCCCATTAACTTCAGTGTCCACCCCCGTCTGCCCCTAGAGCATAGCTTCAGAGGAAAGGGAACCTTATTGCTGCCCACCTGAACTGCAGCTTCCTTCTGTATCACAGAGAGATCTGCTGCTTGCAAAGCAACACTATTGTGTCACATATCGGCCGATAAAGATCATTGTCGTTCTGTTATTTTGTTATACGGGCTGGTGCATGATTATCCACCACCGTCCTAAAAAGTTGCACTGAAGTGCATCTAGAATTGTGTCATCCTTTTTCTTTGTTATAGTCAATCAATAGTGTAAAAACACCATTTAAATGGTTTATTAAAAAAACAAACATAATTTTCCTTTAAATGTGACAGACTTTAAGGAGTTGAATAAAACAATTAATTCCTTTGCTCTTGTGCCCCGCACTCCTTGAGGAATCTTGCTTTGCTGCGTAATTGTTATAACCGGCCACCAGACTGTCCGAGGATATTCACCCCCCAAAGGAAGTTGGTGAGCTCACAGGTTGACTCATCAAGTGTTGGCTGGGACCGAAGGTGTTGCCTCCTACCACACCTCGCATTGCGCCGACGGCATATTGGTTGCATCACGGAATATTTACAAAAGGAGACAGAAAGAAGACTAACATGCTGGATCCAATAAATTCATTGGTGTTGAATGAATTCAATTCCACATTTGCAGCAAAATCTGTTCTTGTTTTCCTTGAACACAGTGGAAACAAATGCTCGAGAGAATGCCTTTTGCTCTATTATTCTACTCGTGTGCCTTTAGAAATGCTTTTTGAAGTATTTTTTCAGTTGTTGTGGCTTCCAATATTTTCCTGCTGGAACAAAGGCAGCATATGTGTAGTAGAAAGAATGTCTCCAAAGGATGTTTGATGTCTGTTATTTCAGTCGCTGGCTCCCAGTGCTCTTGCTGTTTTTGTCACACTAGTTACACTCTTCTTCGTCTGTCTATTTAAAAACCAGGTGCAGCAATTATGCAAGCTCGACAAGCCTGACAGCTCAGCCTGTTTTTAAGTTTTCACAGGTTAAGAATTGGCAACAGCAAAAGTAACGCTCATTAAGCCTTTTCCCTCAATTACTTATTAGCTTTTTTCTATATATATTTTTCTTTATAACGGGATCAAAGTAAGAGGGTTGTGGAGGCTGCTGT